CAGGAGCTCCTGTACAGGGAATTCCCTCAGGCTTCTCCTTGGATGAGCTCCCCTTCCCAGAGAAGCACAGCCAGCCAAGAGGCCACCACTGCTCAGTGGTGGCACAAACCAGCCTTTCATGGCTGCAGCAGGTCCCTTTGCAATAGTGATCCAGGACAGATTCCTGAGGGAGGAAAGGGAAGAGCTGCTGGGGATAAGTCAGGAATCCAACAAGAGGAGGTAAAGCCTGAAGGAAGAGCTCAGGAGTCTCTGAAACATCCCACCTCTCCTTGGTGACCCCAGTAAGCCAAGCAGCCCCTTCACTCACCTCTGCTGCAGCCTGAGCCCCTGCAGGATCTCAGGGAAGGGTTTATGGACACAGGCACCTTCTCTTTCCATCTGCTGCTGGGAGAAGGGCTGGACTCCACAGCAGGGTCCCTCAGCGTGCAGACAGGGTGGGTGGGTGAGAAGAGCTGCCCTAGCAGCACCTTTCCTGGCCAGCATGAATGTAAGAAATCAAGGATTGGGGTTGTTTGTTTTTTCTTCCTCTTTTTTTGGTAGTGGTGAAATCTGGGTTGGCCGGGAGGTAGCACAGCTCAGAGGGCAGCAGCAGGAGGTGGTTTGTGCAGCACTGCTGCCCAGCTGATCCCTGGGGAACCAGGGGTTCTTCACCTCCCCTCCTGGGAGGAGAGGGGAGGAAAACTCCCCAGGGCACAGCTCTGCCTCCTGGGAAGGCAGGCAGGCTGGGGCAGGACATGCAGAGGTGGGGATGTTGTCAAAGCCCTGCCCTGGCTGCAGGAATCCCCTCTGAGGAGGTAAAGCAGGGGGGTCACTTGGCATCATCACATCCCAAATCTCCCAGAAAAGCAGCAAAGAACTCCAGGAAACCCAGACCCGCCAAAGATCCCCAAAAGGGGACCCAAAAAAAGGTCCCCAAAAGCCCCCCAAAGGATTTCTCTGCTGTTTTCTCTCCTTCCAGCTGTACTGCTGCTAGAATCCAGCCCCAAACCCTGTCCCATTCACACCTCCAGAGCTCTCATCCTTTCCTCCTGCTGCCAGACACTTCAAACCCCATGTAACTTTCACAACCCCTGAAGACACCACTTCTGCTGCCGTTTCCATGTTCACAGCACAGCTGGATTCCAGTAGCAATTACCCTTCTGCTTGGGAAAACATTCCCAAAAGCAGCACTGGGGGACTCTGCTCCCTTCCTTCCCAACAGAAAGAGGGGGACCAAAGTCCAGGTGCTGCATTTACACTCAACACACACCAAGGACTCACACACCACAGATTTCCAAACAATTTCCAACACTGACCAAGATTTTATTTTTTTCCTTTTTTTTTTTTTTTTAACAATAAGAACAAACCAGCTCTGAGCAAAACCAAAGACCTCAAATAATAATAAAAAAAAAAAGGTAAAGAGATTTCTCTGAGGTTTCCTAGTAGCATTGCAAGGTAAGGCTTCCCAAAGAGTTGAACTGAAATAAATTATTTCCAACTAAACATCGATGCAACTTCCCTCATTAAACTCACCTTCAGGATCCTAAAAACCCAACAGTTAAAAAAAGTTACCAGCAATTCTAGATAATACTGGGCTCCTTCCACTAGAATGCAATTTGCAGAAGTTGAAAAATTAAGTCACTGCCATGTAAAAAAAATCAACTACACAGGCTGGCATCGGTGGCTCCGAGTGATCTCATGTCCAAAGTTCTTCAGAAAAAGCAGAGGTGGGGCTGCAGCCAGATGCCCCAGTGCCTCCAGTCTTTCCAAATCAACTCACCATGAAGTTGTGGGGTTAAAAAGTGACATAAAAAGCAAGATAGTGGAGCTACCTCCATGAAGTCCCATCCGTGTTGGAGTCCAGACCAGGCAGGTTTTTCCTCCCGTACTCCCCTGGTTTACAGTAACACTGAACGGCAGGGGCTGTAACCTCACCTGGTGTCCCCTCTTCTTTACTCCCTTCCCCCCTCAAGTCTTTCTTTTTTCCAGCCATAACAGGCAAAGGAAAACTGTGCAGCCCTGGGGAGCAAACAGAGGCAGAGCTCTGCCAGGGAGGAAGAGCTCAGCAGCACTAACCAAACTAGTTCCTGCTGGGATCGGTGCAGCAGCTCAGGAATTCCTTTGTTATTGCATCCAGTGGCCAAGCTCCAGCACAGCCAAGATCTGACCTTCCAGCCAGGCTGCCTCAGCCCTCAAGACAACTTCTGGCTGTCAACAGGGGCTGCTGCAAATTCCTAAGTTGCCTTCCCTCCTGGAATAACCCTCCCTGATCTCGAGCTGAACGTGCCCGTGCCCTCAGCAACCTGCACCCACAGCTGCCTATTCCATGCCTGTTTCCTCACTCCAGCTGCAGAAATCACACCCATGGTTTAGAAACTGCCTTTTGGCTGTGGAGGGGGATCAATGTCACATAGAAAATAGTTCAAAAAACAGGAAAAAAGGTTAATTTGTCAGCTGTCCAAAGAGCATTAGACCACATGCTTTGTACAGCAGCGAGGCATCCAGCTCCCGCGGCAGCACCGCCAGCTGAACTCTTCGAGTGACACTTTCCTGCTGGGATAGAAAGCGCAGGGTTGGGGTTTGGTTTTGGTTTTGTTTGTTTTTTTTAAATTTGCCTTTCATTTATTCATTCCACATTGCTCACGAGGAGGAGGAAGGAAGGGCAAGGAGATGCTAGGAGTTTTGTTGCATCTGAAGCCTCCGCTCGGCGGCAGCAGCCAGTGTCCGGCGGCGCAGGGCGACAGGGTCGGCGGACGCTCCCTCGGGTGGAGCTGAGGGCTTCTCTGTGCTCTGCTCCTCCTCCTCCTCAGAGGTCTTGTTTAAATAACGCCTGCAGGAGGAGAAAGGAGAAGGTGTTGGCTCTGGAAAAGACTTCAGTGGTACATCGGTGAAGCGAGGGACGCTGAGGGTGGGAATTAGATGAAACGCGCGCACCAAGTAGGTGCTCAAGTGAAAAGAAGCTTGTGGGACATCTGATCGTCTGAGGAAAGGCTGGGAGAGCTGGGGCAGGGCAGCTGAGAGAAAAGGAGACTGAGGAGGGGTGTCATCATGCTGATCAGCCTCTCCAGGGGGTGTCAGGAGGATGGGCCAGACTCTTCTCAGGGGTGTCCAGTGACAGGACAAGGGGCAACGGGCACAAACTGGAGCACAGGAGGTTGAACCTGAATATGAGACAACACTTCTTGACTGTGAGGCTGACAGAGCCCTGGGACAGGCTGCCCAGGGAGGCTGTGAAGTCTCCATCCCTGGAGACATTCCAAACCCACCTGGACATGCTCCTCTGTCACCTGCTGTCCTGGTTTGAACCAGGATGAAGCCAATTTTCTTTTTACTGCTTGTTTTGTTTTCCTTCAGGGAGCTCTTTTAACTAGCAGCAAGTTTTACAGCTAGTGAACTGGTAACGCTGGAATGTTTTGTTACTGCTGAGATGCCAAGGTCACTTTGCTGAATCTGCAGCCTCATTTGCTAGGGGAGCAGAAGTCTCTTATCTACAGCCCTCTCCTAGGGAGGAGTGGACTGGATGGGACAGCAAAGCTGGCCAGAGATACTCCATCCTATGTACCTACGTAGGCTCGGTGTAAGGTCAGGGATCACAAAAGGCAAGGCCCTTCCTACTTCTTCTCTCCTGTCCATGGTTGGTGTCCAGGAGGACTCCATCTATCCATCACCATTGAACCCCAGGCTCCTGCACTCCTGGTGCTCATCACTCTCCCCTCAGCTCCTGTCTGCCCTGCCACTCTCTCCAGCAGTTACGGGACATTTTGGAGCTGCTCACAGCTCAGGAGATGTCAGGGGAGTTGCTGGGGGGGGGGGGGGGGCAAGAGGATTTTGCACATTCCTGAACACATTTGCATATAATTGTACATATTTTCTTATCATTAGTATCTAATTAAAACTGTCTAGTTTGGTCTTCAAGCCAGGAAGTCTCTCTATTATCTCTCTCCTTCCTTACTTGGGTGGGAGGGAACCGAGAGTATTATTGTCACTGGTTCAATCCTGAGTCAAACTGCAACAGCTGCTCTAGCAGGGGGGGCTGGACTAGATGATCTCCAAAGGTCCCTTCCAACCCCCACCACTCTGTGAACCCTGTGCTACAACCCACAACAGAACCTGCAGAAGCTCTTGGTATTGTGCAGGATCCCTGGGCCAGTGGGAGGGAGCCAGTTCTGAAGGCCCTGAACTCAGAACTATTCTCTGAGGCTGCAGGTGAGTCCCTGAATCTCTGTCCCCTTTTAAAATTCTGGCAGTGTCCACCACCAGGAGTCCTTCCCTGGAGCTACAAAGTGCATAGTCAGGCAAAAATCCAAGGAAGCACCTGCCAGAGTTAACACCCCAATCAATTTTTACACTTGGTGCCAAAATACAGTAAAATTTGCAGCCCCACAGCTCTCCAGTGCAGGAAGAGAACCAGAAAACCAGGAAGTCAAGAATATTTTGTCTCCCTACATGACAGTTGTCAAAACATCAAGGAAAAATTATTCTTGGAGCAAGGCTATTTACAGACAAACTCTTAAAGAGGTGTCATACCCCAGTTATTTATATGAAGGCATTTCAGTGTGGGGAAAAATCAAAAAGAAGGAGTGTAGGTGGCCTGGTAACACCAAAGGACTCATAACTCAATGTAGTTTCTGTAGACCTTTCAAGTAGTCTCCCTGGGGCAGCAGTTGTTAGAGATGCTAAAAACTTTCCTCTACATCACTAAAGCACTTTTCCTTCTCAGTTTTCATCAGGAATTGGACAGTAATAAAGCTCCTCAACATGACTGGAACACATGGAAAAGAAGTTTGAGCTCTAACACCTCTTACTAGTTGGGCTGAAGGGAACAGTTTGAGTAGGTCACTCTCTCTTCAGCAGCATTGATGTGGTCAAACTAAAGATGACCAGAGGACTCTTTAACACAATGTGTTACAGGTTTAGATTAAAGGCCACTGAAGCTGCAGAAATCATCCTCTGTCTTTCAAAGAGCTTTACATCAGCCCCTAGGATGCTGTGAATGTGCTGGGACACAAGGGCTATTTCAGAGTTGGCTTTACCAGCAACCGTTCTCCTAACCAGCACCCTGAGCCTGCTGTAGCACGTGTATTCATTCCTCATCCTATTTTTTTGCATCACTCCAGGTTCTTGGTGGTCATCATCCATTTGAAACCCACTCTGGGGGACTACAACTGAGTGGCAAGGCTGGATTTTCAGGAAGGAACGTACTTCCGAGCCTGCTGCAACAAGTCTTCCTTCCGCTGCACCAACATCCGCTGCCTCTCGTCAGCAGACTTGGAGAAACGACTTCCCCTGGCCTCAAAATCTTCTGCTTCACTAGGCTCTGCTTCCATTTCATTCAATTCCACTGTTTCTTCCAGTCTGGAGTTGAGTTCAAGAGGTACTCTCTCAGTCTAGGAGAAAAGAGGGGGGGTGGGGGAAAACACAACAAAAGAAGAAGTCATCACGTCTCTGCAGGATTTGCTAAGAGGGCTTCTTGGCATCAACCCAACAAGCTACAAAGAACTGTCCTTTTCTGAGGGACTGGGAGGAACCAGCCCCTCACCTGCTGTACCCAAATTCCCTTAGGCTCCTTTGAAAATCCCAGAACAAAGCAATTTCAAAATAAATTCAAAGAGCCTGCATTCCAGAAAGCTGTCTCGTTGATGCCACTTTCGAAAGTCATCTCAGAGGCAATCATTAATTACTCATAAATTAATGCTCTATGAAAAAAAATGAGGCAATAGAAATTGGCCAGATTTGCCAGCTGACTGGATGAGCAATGCAACAGTAAAGAATTGAAAGAGCAGAAATTCATATACTAAGGAAAGAACAGCAAGTGTGTTTGTTTGCAAGGAGGAGACGCGCTTGAGAAGGGAATTTGTGAGGCTTCAGGTCACCAAAATCAAAATGAGGGTCTATCTGGGCTGCTGGAGCAAGGCTGGCAACTGTCCCAAGCCCAGTGTGTCAAGAAAAGAAGCTGGCAGCCCTGCACAGAGGAGCTCTTCACCCCTGACAGCTGGCTGACGTGGACATAAGCATGGAGCTGGGGAACCAGCAGAGGTGAAGCAGCACATCCTGATCACCTCCTGTCACCTACAATCAGATCAGCTCTGCGATGGAAAAGCAAGATGTTACTAAGCATCAAGAAACAAATCACCTCCATCAAAGGCTTAAGGGTTTAGCCAGCATTTGGTATCCCAGGGGATTACTCAAACAAGCAGCATGCAGCAGAGAGGTGCTCAGCACACCCCTGGCAGAATCTCCTGATCCTGCAGGAGAGAGATCCTGAAACTGCAATCCCAGAAGAGAGAGGGGGGCCACTTCCCAACTCTCATCCCTAGAGAGCATGACATGGCATGATATGGAATATCCCAGTGGCCAGATTGGATCCATGGCTCTGGCTGTGCTCCCTGCCAACTCCTTGTGCACCTGCACAAAAGCAGAGCACAGGGAGCTGGGAAAGTCCTTGATTTCTTGGCAACAACTAAAAGCATCAGTGTATTATCAATGTTCTCCCCATACCAAATCCCACCATGATCCAAAACATAGTGCTGTTCTAGCTACTAAGAAGAAAATCAGCTCTACCACAGCTGAAACCAGGACAGCAACACTGGGGGGTTCAG